AATGAACAAATAAAGAAAATTATGTACAATTGGGGCCATAAGTGTTAAACTGCCCTTGTTATCTGCAATGTGAGTTTTTACACATATATGTGCGTCAAATTAGTAAACATAACTCCTTGGGAAGGGCAATATCGAAAGGTGTTTTCCAGCAAGGCAATGGCTCCTAGCAGGCCACACTACACCGCCCCCCCCCCCAAAGGTTTTATTCACAATAACAGGGTTCACTTAATTACCAAAAGACAACAGAGGTCTCGTGCCTCCCTTTACAGGGCGTGGTGCACCAATTGTAATAATCAACAAAACAATCGGTCAACGAATCCAGGCGTTCTTCTTCCTTTTACTACTCCCGGTAGCGCGACGGCACCACCCGGCGCCTGACAGGCCGCGCTCTTGGTGCCGCCGCCCCTTCCTCCGACTCGCTCTCCGAGTCCTCCCTGCCCAACCGCTCGAACACGGACCGGCGCCCACCTTCCCTTTCCGGCTGTCCGCGGTCCTCGCGGTCGCGGGCTCGCCTCCCGTTTCTGTCGTAGGTGGGGAGGTCTAGGATGTCGGCCCGTCCCGCAACGCGCAGAACTTCGCTGGGGGTGAAGTATCTGACTGACAGAAGGCGGGGAGTCTGCTCCGGCAGGATGTTGAGGAGGTTCTGAACGAGGACGGTCAAGTACCTCACGCATCTGAATAAGAAGCGTTATTTTACCTCAAATGTAAAGAGTTATTTGAAACTCGATTCCGGCCACCCTATAAAAAAGTACCTTGTCTGAATGTTTTTCAAAACTGTAGGGTCCAGCCTGACCTGGTCCAGCCAAATGCGGACGCCTGCGCCGAAGTCTGCACTGGAGATGGGAACAAGAGAGTTGCAGCATCCCGCAAGTTCTGACGCAGCTCCTTCACTGCATCGTCAGTCAGAACTTCTCCAGGCCGGAGGCGAGGCACCTTCTCGGGTTTCAGGAACTTTCCAGGGAGGCTTACGATGAGCTCGTTTAAGTCCGCCACTAGAGTTGTCAGCTGTAGGATAAGTACGTGTGCAGTTAGTTATTTTCAGTACTATCTTCCTTCATGTGGTCTGGCAGATTGTTAAAAAGGGTTATAGCCCTGTACAGACAGCTGTTCAGACCATATTTTGTACTATTGGCTGGTGGGAATGTTAGGTTCTTTTGTGTTCTCGTTAAATGACCATGTCTATTATAGTCATGTTGGATGTCAGTGTTAAGTATTTTCTTGTTATGGACATGGCTATATAGAATCGTTGTCAGGTTAATTTTGATAGTGGATAACAAAGTCATTGCACCCTCCCTTCGCTCTTCTCTTTTTCAATCTGTTCTTCCAACTTTCTAATGCTCTCTTCTTTTTCCCTCCCTCCGCTCACCTCTTCCTTCGACTTGCAGATTTGATTGTAGTAGTCCTTTTTGTGGGAAAGTAATATTAAAAACAAATACCAGATTTTCTGTTAAATATTTTAAAACATTATTTTAAATCTTTTGAATATTACATTCCCACAAAAATTTGTGAATGTTAAGGGACCTTAGAAGATTGATTTAATTTACTTTTCATTTGTGTTTCTTTTAGGACAGTCAGATTTGGACTAAGACAAAAAGATTCATTTGCATACACGCAACCCCAAAGTTAGTGCAACGTAACCGCTTAAATTAGACTGATTCAAAAATGTACTTTCCAACCAATGTCATCATTACAATTGCCTGAATCTAGCATTTTAAACATTATAGTATAAAAAAGGGATAAAACAATTGTTCAAAGTGGTCCTAAAGATAGTTTGTAGGACATATTACCAGAAATAAATGTTTAAAGTTGGCCTTACGTTTGGATCCTAAAGTTTGCGTTATGTCTAAGATATTTTTTCATTACTTTGAAATTGCTGACACTACTCAGGGCTGTCTGTCAGTTTTGAAATAATTTGAATCGCTAAGAAAGTTGTTAGTAATTAAAATTTAAAATGTTTATGTATAATTGCAAATAAACTTGACAGTTATTCATTATAACTACCAACCTATTCTAATATCTTTATTATAAGATATCAATTTCATACTTTTCAAAATAAAACCACAAATTGCGCCCGAAACGTACCCAAATCTGTTAACTGGCTGCATCAACTTAAGGGAGTGCTGTCGGGAGTGCCCTTACCCAACATGTTTAGAAAACCATGCCATGACAGGAATATGATAGACTAAATAACTACCTTATAAGTAGCGGTAGTTTGTACAGCAGAAGCCAGTAGCGGCAACTCATTGACACCAAATTTACTAAATTCATTGATAATACTGCAGATTTCCCTTCACACGGCTATGGAAACCCACTGAAAATACGGCGGAATTCCCTTGACACGACAGTGGAAATCCATTCAAGTACTGCACAAATCCCACCCCCCAGGGACGGTGATTACCACCAAGTACTGCACATTTCCCTCCCCGCCAGGGCGGTGATAACCACTAAATGAGTTGGTGGGAATGTCCACAGGGTGCACAAATCCCACCAACGTTTGAACTCCCACCAACGGATGGAACACCCCTCAAGGATTTGGTCGTCTAATTTACCAACCAACCGTTGGTGGGGAACCCCCCCCTCCCCCCCCTGTCCAATTAAGCGTGTGCAGCCTGGCTGTGAGGGAAAACACCCCCGGGGGGGGGGGGGGGCTCTTACCTCTCCATCGGTCGCCTGAAACCGCAGGTTCAGCGCGTTCAGGTCCTTAGTAATAGGTCCCAAAAATTTACGGTAAAAGAAAATTGCATTTTGCTGGAAGCACTCATATAGCTCTCTTCCGATAGCGCATTTTTCCGAAGGGGAAGTCGACGCATTGTGGTTCACAAAATGTTGTTTCAGTTCAAGCCACTGGTCTGTCACTACCGAGATGGCCCTCGCCCACGCCAGCCACCGTGTCTTCACAAGTTGCACTAAAGCTCGCGGCATGGCTCCGCCGTTTATGGCGGCGTACAGATCTTTGTACTGTAGTCTCTTGAGGGGACTTCGACTGAACCAGTTTCGGGTTTCCCGAACAAGGAACTCCACATCAGCAGGCATCTCAGCGGCAGCTTTGGATGCTGCATTATGCAAACTATGGCAGACGCACTTGACGATTTGAAGATCAGGAATCTGATTTCAAGGCAAATAATAATTAATTAAATGTACTTTTAAGACAACCGCTTAGCAATCGAACAAGTAGTGTGCTTACTTCTGCTTTCATGAGAGTGAACACGGAGTGTGTTCCCCCGCATAGAGTGTTCGCGCCATCCGTCCCCAGGCCTTTGCATTGCTTTTTGTAGTCAATGCCAAGGTCTGTGAGGTGCCCCTTCAAGGAACTCCAGAGAGCGTCTGCAGTTGCCCTGTAGACTGCAATCAGGCCTAGAAACTCTGTCTTCAGTACATTGTCTGTTTTACTATAATATTTAATCATGGTTGCAAGGAACTTCGTCGTGCTTATATCGGTAGATTCGTCGATTATTAATGAAAATGCGCTGTCTGCTAGGTCTTCGACCAGCGCGGTAAGCATAGCAGGTGCCACAACATTTACTATTAGTTTTGAACATTTAGTTCGGTGGAGCCGTAAGCGTTCTAGTCTGCCGCCTTTTCCAACAATTTTAAGAAGTTCAGTAAGGTGGTCTATACTTTTCAAGGCTGAATGGGTCACGATGTAAATTGCCAGCTTTATGTCAATAACTTTTTGCTCGTCGCCCACGACCTGCACGGCGCCTGCGGCCACCAGTTATAGAGTAAGTGTCGTGTTAACAATTGCGATTGATTAGTTAAATGTAGCCCGTCATTACCCATTTGGTCGAGTCTATTCTGCCGCCTCGTGTTGTACAGCTCCATGTTTCCAGTATGTGTGGAGTTTTCGGCGTGGCGCAGGAGGTCGGCTCGGTGGGCTCTAAGCGGCTTGTTACCGCACACCGTGCACAGCGCCCACTTGTTGTTTACCGCACCCGCTGGGTTTTCCGCTAGCCAGCCTGATAAACAACAGTCGGTCAGCCTCCGTCCCGCACCGGGCCGGGAATCCCTTCTAATCCGACCCCGAGTCGGGGTCCCCGACCTACCTTTGAATGCTTTCTCTCTCTCCCAATCCTTAGAGTACTTCCGCTTCCTAATGCTCTCGTACGAAGGGGTACCGGAGGAGGGTGTCCTTGGCGGGGGGGTGGCTATGGGCGAAACGATGATGCAGTCCTCTACGGCCTTCTCCCGCTCCCGGCGCGTCGGTGGAGTTGATACCGTCCTCCTGACCGCGATGAGGGAGCGCCTTGGCGTGCCACCAGGGGGAAGAGGGGGACGGAGAGCCGGGGGAGGAGATGGCCTGAGAGGAGACGGGGTGGTGATCACGGGCCGCGGTACAGCCACGGGGGTGGAAGGGGCTGGCGCCGGACGGCTAGAGGCGCCTGGCCGTGGGGCTGCAGCAGCTGCGGCGCTCGTGCTGCGGCCGCGCCCACGACCACGCCCGGCAGGTGGAAGACCGGACGATGGCGGGGCGGGGGGGACCGGTGGAGAGTTCGATACAGCCTACAGAATGCAACAGCAACAGTGAGACGACTGTTCGTGCAATTAACTATGGTTCACAGTTCACTCACTGTTTTCTTTGGGGCAGACTGCAGCCAGTCCTGTATAGATCCCCTCTTTCCCGCCATTCTCCAAACCGCCCGGCGCCTCGCCTCCCGCCTTCACGTCAGACAAAAAGCAACCCCCTGGCAACCCCCTGGCAACCACCTTTGTTGTATCTGCGCATGCTCGCGGTGGTGGCCACCGCCTTCTCACAATTTTTTCCAACTGACAAAACAATACCGCCTTTAAGGAAACGCAAAGATCGCCCGCCAAATCTCAAAACTAGCCGAAAACGCCCAAAAACGCCCGAAAAATAGGAATTTTCATAAAAATCGCCCGAAAATCGCCCGAGAAAAAAAAAATCGCCCGAAAATCGCCCGGGCGCATTTTGCCAAAAAAAATCGCCCGGAGAGACCAAAAATCGCCCGGCGGGCGCAAAATCGCCCGATCTGGCAGCTCTGAGCTCGCCGCCTGCAGAGAGCGTGTCTCTACAGTCCTGCTAGTCTGCCCCTGTCCAGCCAGGTCACGCGCGGGGAAGCTCGTCAACCCACCCCTCTGACATCTACGCCAAGGTAAGAAAGTCGACGGTGCATATAGCTTCCCAACATTACTTCGGGTATGAAGCCGAACGGCCAGAACGCCTGTTATCTAGCTTCGGGTGTCACGTTGACACTCATCCGAAGGCGAATGTAGGACGACAGTACAGAAGCAGTGTTCTGTGTGGGTTGAAGTTTTGCTCTAACGCGACGCTCCGCGCTCTGTTTCTGTCACGCAGTTAACTAACTCCTCTCGTCGGCTCCGACGGCGGGGTCCTTGTTCGACATGGAGCTCCTCCCGGACGACGTGCTCATGACGGTCATGCAGTTCCTGTGCGTGGAGGACGTCCTGGCCTGCCGCCTCGTGTGCAGGAGGCTCTGCGGCCTCGCTGTGCACCGGGACGTCTGGCGCCACCGATCGCTCTCCGACGACGACCCCTGCGCCGGCGCGGTGCTGCTCCTGGCCCCGTGCCTCGAGAGGCTTGTCGTCACGGGCCGAGTCCCGACCCTGGCGGTGACGACGACCAGGTGCGCCGTGGTGAGTCTGGAGCTGCGGGGCAAGCGAGGTGAGCCCTTCAACCCCGGGGAGTACGCCTTGGCAGTGCTCAAGCAGGAGGCCCTCGGGCGCCTCAGGAGACTCAAGCTCTCGGACATGTACTACGGTCTAACAGTGCCTGCACCAGACGTGCTGGCGAGGACGATTGCGTCGTGTTCCGGTCTGGAGTCGCTTGTAGTCATGGGTGAGCTACCGGAACTCACCCGACCAGTACTGCACGGGCCGTCCAGACCCTCGCTCACCAGGTTCCGCTGCCCGTCTAACGACTGCTCGGC